CCCCCCGCGAGTATCGCGGGTCCCCCTCTTGTAAGTTACATAACAGCAAGGAATACATCTACTTAACAATAAGTTGAAGGCTGGGAAATTGTCACAAAACAGCCGACCAATGAAGCTGACAGATCCCAGCCAAAACAAAAACAAAAACCCAGCAACAACTAAGAAAGACATAAAATGGTTTCCTGACATTTAAGAGTTTAACAGTGGCACCTAGGGCTGCCAACCTCCAGGTAGTGGCTGGAGATCTCCTGGTATTACAACTGATCTCCAGGTGACAGAGACTGGTTCCCCTGGAGAAAACGGCTGTGGCATTATAGTCCATTGAAGCCTCTCCCACCCCCAAACCCCACCCTCCTCAGACTCCACCTCCAAAATCTCCAGGTATTTCCCAACCTGGAGCTAGCAATCCTAATGGCATCCTTCTAAGTCCATTGAAGTTGCTGCGTTAAGAGGGGTGTGACTGTGCCTAGGAATGCCCTGCAATTATGTTATTGTTCTTAGTCTTAAAAATATAAACCTCTAATATAATGCTTTTGTTGTTGTTGTTGTTCAGTCGGACAGTCAAGTCCGACTCTTTGCGACCCCATGTCCGAATCCACAGCTGTCAATCAAATACACATTTGTAGCAAAGTAATATTTATTGAAGCCATGAAGAAACGGGAGCAAGTTCACTGTTTGGAATAACCAGAATAGTCGGGCACAGAATAATAAAGCAATTTCAAAATAGCAATAACCAATAGGCTTGGTTCCCGCTCGCGCGGTTGGGCTGTCAAACTCGCGCCCAAAGCCTGAGAACAAAGGTCTCCTAAAAGATAAACAATTAAACTCTTCTCACACTCTAGTTCATTATAGACTAAGCGAAGCCGACTTTCCCCACCTGTGACCTTGCTGATTACGAGAGTACAAAGCAACACTAGCGTATATCAAAAGAAATGCATGAGACATAAAAATGAGCGCTTCATAAGACATACAGACATGCGCATGAGGGTTTGGCCATAACCTGCATATGGGGGGAAGGGAAAGACATACAGAACACATTGGCAGCTCGCTGACACCCCATGGACCACATCACGCCAAGCCCTCCTGTCCTCCATTGTCCTCCGGAGTTTGCCCAACTTCATGTTCGTTGCATTGATAACACTATCTAACCATCTCATCCTTTGCCGTCCCCATTCTTCTTTTACCTTCAGTCTTTCCCAGCATCAGGGTCTTCTCCATTGAGTGCTCCCTTCTCATTTGGTGGCCAGAGTATTTGAGCTTCGGCTTCAGTATCTGGCCTTCCAGGGAACAGTCAGGGTTGATTTCTTTTAGGATTGACTGAGGGACTCTCAAGAGTCTTCTCTAGCACCATAATTCAAAAGGATCTATTCTTCGGCGCTCGGCCTTCCTTATAGCCCAACTTGCAGCCATACATTACTATTTGGAATACCATTGCTTTGACCAAACGGACTGTTGTTGGCAGGGTGATGTCTCTACTTTTTATTATGCTGTCTAGATTTGCCATAGCTTTCCTCCCAAAGAGCAGGCGTCTTTTAATTTCATAGTTATAGTGCTACAACTCCATTAATACAATCAGACCGCTAGCCCTCCAGTTTGGTGTAGTGGTTAAGTGCGCAGACTCTAATCTGGGAGAACCGGGTTTGATTCCCCCACTCCTCCACTTGCACCTGGCTGGATGACCTTGGGCAAGCCATAGTTCCGATAAGAGCTGTTCCTGAAAAACAGCAGTTTCTGTCAGAGCTCTCTCAGCCCCACCTACCTCACAGGGTGTCTGTTGTGGGGAGGGGAAGGGAAAGGAGTTTGTAAGCTGCTCTGAGACACCTTTGGGTTGTGAAGGGCGGGGTATAAATCCAATCTCTTCTTCTTCTTCTCTCCTCCTCCCTGGGTTCTATAAACATAAAAAAGGGACCCTACTGAGAGAAAATCCTCTGGTTTGCGACTTTTAATTGGTGAGAAAATCTTTTAATTTATTTTTTTTTTTTAAAGCCCAGGTTCTAGAGAGCCAGTTCTCTGGTGCAGGCACTTTCCAAAATGTGGCAATCACCTGCTAAGTCGCTAATGGCAGAAATATGTTCCTGCAAAGCCTTTTGGGGGTTCGTTAGCTCCATCGTCTTCACTGCCTGGACCCCTCTCTCTCTCCATCTTCATGCATCACCTTTAGGAATGGACCTCCACTTGCTACTCCAATTTAGAATTTCATTTCTTTCAGATGTTCTTCCTGAAACATCAGGCTCAAAAAGGCCTTATCTCTTGCAGTGATCAAGATATTTCTCCTCTGCAGGTTGGCTGGGGGTGGTGGGTGGTACACAGTATGTAATGGGGAACACTTGCAACCAGGGGTCTTTTCGTAGAAAAATAGCTGCAGGAGCTCATTAGCATATAGCATGCTAATGAGCTACTGGGCTATTAGCATATGCCATGCCCCCTGACATCACCGGAAGTGATGGCAGAAGGGGAAGCAAAAGGGGGGAGGCATCTTCAAAAGCCTCCCCTCCCCTTCCCTTGGGGGGGAGCGAAGAGAGAAGGGGTTTAAACTTTAAACCCCTTCTCACTAGAGTTGGGCCACAGGAGGAAAGACAGAAGGACAGAGAGAGAGTAGAGAGAAGGAAAGAAGGAAGGAAAGAGGGAAAGAAACAGAGAAAAGGAGAGAAAGAAAAAGGAAGGACGGAAAGATGGCAAAGAGATGGAGGGAGGGAGGCTCTCCCACCACCCCCCATCAAGCCCCTGCCACCCCCACCCCCGCGGATAGCTTACTTACCACTTCGGCGGGGGGTCGGGGAAGCCAGCGTTGGGGCTCTCCAGGCGTCCCCCAAGCTGCAGCGCTCCTGGTGGGCCGGGGGACGCGGCGACAGGGACCCGGGGCGAAGCTCTCCGGGCCTCGCACGAGCCGCAGTGCTCCCGCACGGCTCGGGAGGGCCGGGGCAAGGCTGTCCGGGCCTCGCCCGAGTCGCAGCGCTCCCGCGCAGCTCGGGGAACCCTGGGGCAAGGCTCTCTGGGCCTTGCCTGAGTCGCAGCGGTCCCACGCGGCTCAGGAAACCCAGGGGCGGGGATCGTGGGACCCGGGGGCGGGGCTTGCCACCACGCGCACTGGCAGAGCAGCGCTCCGGAGGGCTCCGGCCCAAAAAGACCCCTGCTTGCAACAAGGTAAGAAGAAAGAGAAGAGATTGGCTTTCTACCCCGCCCTTCACTCAGCGTCTCAGTGGCTTACAAACTCCTTTCCCTTCCCCTCCCCACAACAGACACCCTGTGAGGTAGGCAGGGCTGAGAGAGCTCTTTCCAGAACTGTCCTTGAGAGAACAGCTCTGATAGAACTATGGCTTGCCCACGATCATCCAACAACTGCAAGTGGAGGAGTGGGGAATCAAACCCAGTTCTCCCAGATTAGACTCCGCGCACTTAACCACTACACCAAACTGGTAAGAGCTATGAACACATTGGAGCATGTTTGTCCACAAACATGGGCTGGGTCACACGTGTCAGAGAAGACCTGAAATCACACCCTGGATGTGTAGTCCAAATAAACTCATGGACGAATTAAGAAAGACCAGTCAGTAGATCACAAAGGGGGCAGAATACTTAATACTGTGATGCGCCAAAGTTGAAAACACACAGTGATTTTGGCTAACCAGGGATTTTTTTGATACAGAATATGAGTGCTCGGGAAGCCATCTCAGAAGGTCTACTTGTAATTAGATCCCATTTTATTCAATGAGGCTTTACTTCCTGGAAAGTGTTCTTTAAAAAAACAATAAATTTGCACATAATATATTTATTTCAGGGGGATTTAAAGGACTTCCTGCCCCCACTCCTGGTCCCCAACAAGAGAAATTGGGCCAAAAAATTACATTTTGGCAATGCTGCAATGTAACTTCCAGTTAGGGTTGCCAGTTCAACTTACCTGGCCAAAAGGGGTCTCCTGACATCCTTCCAGGAGACCAGAAGTGATGTTGGGCATTTTGGGGGCTACTTCCAGTTTCAGGTGTACATTCAGTCGGGGGTGACACACTGGTTTTTAGGCAAAACTCTATGGTAAATTTGGCTTCAAACCATAGAGTTTTGCTCAAAAAACGGAACATCACCCCCAACTGGACGGAGGTCCGAAACCAGAAATAGGCCCAAAAAGGTTAGTTGGAGGTGGGATTTCCCCCACTGGCAGTGGGCAAGAGCCTGCAGAAACGGGGGTTCCCCCGCTCCCACCAGGGGGCTAGCAACCCTACTTCCAGTCACATAACTGGGAGCAAAATCATCCATCACCAGGAAGCTCTAACAATTCCTCAAACTTTACGGTAAAACCATTGACGTGTGATGCCACTTCTGGCTACATGATGAAGTGACATCACAGCATCACATGATGTTGCACAATGCTCAGCCCTGCCCCCAGACGTTTCCAGAGGCTGCTAGTCCTCAGCTCACAACCATAGTTTCTTTGGATATGCATTCATTTTTCATCTTGACCCCCCTCCCCAAAATAAAACATGTTGGACGCCACCAAGCCATTTCCACCATTCTAGAAAAGTTACTTCTGTCCATACCTCATATATCATTTCTCCTTGCAGTTAAGTCTTTAGCAGTTCCTCTCAGTCCCTTACTTTCTTAAACTCCTCTGTGCTGAAGATTTGACACTGCACTGAGCTCAGAGACAGCTCTGTGGGTGAACAGAAATGTCTGCTTTGGACTCTTTCTTCCGTTCATTTCACCCAGAAACTGCACGGTGAGGGGGAGGAGGAATCACAACGGGAGAACTATATTATAAACTATAAACAAAACTAGAACACTTTCCATGGTAACAAAGGGAACGGTGAGGACCCAGTTCTGCTTACAGCAGTAAAATAAAACCCCGTGGAAAGGAAAGAAATTATTTGGGTCATACGCAGGAGAGCTTGCTTTGCCATTCAGGCTGCAGGCTGGCCACTCAGGACTGGCATTTGCCTCTGCAGCAGACAGAACAGATTATGCAGCTTTTCACTCGCATGGACAGAGTGTAACAGGTTGACAAATGTGGTACAGGAAGGAATTTCCCCTGGGTCAGATTTTCTGAGGGCCATGTTGGGGTGGGGAGGGTTTGCCCGCCTCAGTAAATATGGCTGATCTTGCTGGGTTGAGCTCTCTGGGTTGGCTTAGCTGTGTGTGTCCCAGCCAGAGATCTACGATGCTAATTGCAAAGACTTCCCTTCCTCTGAGACGGCATGCTTCAAAGCACCAGGGAAACTGCCGGGATGTGTACAAGTTTCACATGCACTCTTGGGTGTGTTTATGTGGCTGCTCAGGTCCTACTTGACTTTTAGTGGGTGGTGTTTTTTTTAGGGGGGGTGTCTCTCATTCAGACTCCCTGGTGCGGAGAAAACAAACAACAACAACAACAACAACAAAGATTCCCCTCCGCTTCCCCGAAAGGTCATTGCCTTCCAGCACCATTTTTCCTGACTTGGTGACCGCCCCCCACACTGAGCCCCCTTCCGTGCCCTCTCTTCCTCCAAGACTACCGTGCCTCCGGGCTGCTGTCTGACAACCAACTCATCTGCCCAGCTGAGAGAGTCGGGCAGCCTCCCGCCTCAGCCTGACCTAAACCTGACAATGCCTTCTGCTTCTCTCTGTCTGCAAACACCCCTCCTGCTTCCCTCGCCAAAGTGAGAGACAGCTAATGCTTTCAGCTCCTCGCTGGGGAGCGCGAGGAACTCGACTGTGCCAGCCGAATCTCTATGCCTCCCTCGCTGGCACAAGTCAGACACCGCCGACGCATTTGCAGCCTAAAAAAAAAAGCTGGCTCAGAAATAAATAAATAAGGCAAGGAAGTGGAACGCTTCTGTCTGAAGAAATTAGACAGCCATTATTCTCCCGTTGCACTCAGGCTGAAATGGAGGCCTTGGGGAGGAAAAGGATTGCCAGAAGGGATCATTCCTAAATCGTGTAATTCCTAAATCTTCCATACACACACACACAGACACACACACCACTCCAGAACTGATTATTAGCGGTTATCTAGATGTAGTCATCTGTGGTTTTATTTCATGCAAGGCTTGTACAAGGCCTCTTCACCATGCAATTGCAAACATAGATGAGAAATGCCCCATTCTAGTGCCTGGGTAGCCTTGAGTGCCGCATTGATGAGGCAGAATATGTTGGAAAAATAGTCAAAAAATGCTTAAATTGTTCATAGTGTCAATGGATCTTGCTTCACTGAATGAGGAGAGTTTCTTTCTGTTTAAAAAGCTTTATTTCTAAGGGTAAAGGGTATACAGGAAAACTACAAATAAACAAAACATCTAAGAGCTACATTTCTGCTGCTTACTTCTCAAAGCATAGTCACACACTTCTCTAGCAGTGGTGGACAAACACCTTCTTCTCGACCCCTAGAAAGGAAGTCACCTGAAAACAGTAACCAATCATTGTCTGTAAACACACTCAGATTTGCAGGCTTTTTCCACATTGGCTGTCTGCCAGGTTGTCCTTCTAGGTCATTCTAGATAATAGCACAGAAAGGTAAACAAGTTGACCCTATAATGGCTGGGATCTGAGACCTTGCAAACACATACATTTCCAACACCCCTTCTCAAGATCTAACATGTAAGCCATTATACATCACCCCTTCTCAAGATCTAACATGTAAGCCTTTATACATATACATATAAAACATTATTCATTATTTACTTCAACGTTTGTATCAATCATATTCAGCATTTCACGTAGACGTTCAAATTTCTCTTTGGTTAGTGGCTGAGTCAGAATGCCAGCCACCATTTCCTCTGTACGACAGTGTTCAATATCTATCAGCTTCTTCTGGTACAAATCTTTCACTAAAGCACACTTAATACCAATTGATCTACTTCTTGCATTGGTGCTTTCTTCCTTACATATACTTATACAAGCCTGATTATCCTCAAACATAAGTATAGGTACAGGTTCTCTTATTCCAAAGTTCTTTAACATATGAAAAATCCATTCAAGTCTACTACAGGCACTTGCTGCTGAAACACACTCAGCTTCTGCTGTAGACTGTGCCACAACACTTTGCTTTCTACTAGTCCAGTCTATTAGTCCATCTCCATAGAAAAATAGATACCCGCTAGTTGACTTATAATTGTCTGATTCTTTTCCCCAGTTGGCATCCATATATGCGACTAGTCTGGGCCCTTCAGATGGTCCAATTCTCAGTTGTAAGTCTATAGTTCCTTTCAGGTACCGTGCCAGTTTCTTTATTGCACTCCAATCATGATGATTAGGTCACCTCAGGTAACCATGCAACCAACTCTTCAGAAGCAGTCCCAGATGTCTGTGGATCAGTCGCACTGGAAACACTTGGAAAATCACGCTCATCAACAAATACAACATTGTGTTCCCTAACAGTGTGATTTTGGGGATTGTATATCCTGTATCCTTTTCCACCAAGAGGATATCCTATTACAAATCCAACTTCAGTTCTGGGATCAAGTTTTCCCCTTTTCTCTTTTGGTATGTGAGCATACCCTTTGGAACCAAAAGCTTTGATGTGCTTTAGTCCAGGCCTGAAAAGGAGTGGTTCCAGTAATCTTTGAGACCTTGCAAACACATACATTTCCAACAGAAAACACACTCTTACTTAGGGCTCTGGACAAACATAGCCTCATGATAAAGGGCTGCCAAGCCCCCGAGGAGGTTACCATAGAATTTCCAGTGATTCCTAGAGCTACCCTTTATTACTTCCAGGCAGCTCTAGGAATCAACAGGAACTCTATGGTAAGACTTTCCTGTAAGTAGACAAGGCCTTTTCTTTTTAATTTTTCCTCTGAGCCACTGCCGCCCTAATTTAACATTGACTGCCCTTCCTCCTGTCCTTAAAGAAGACGGGACAGAAATCTACATATTAAAAATAGATTACAGAAAAGTGAATTATATATAAAATATTGCAAAATTTTGCAAATTTTCTCCATTTGCATCACTTATTTTAAAAAATATATAACTGAGATATCATTGACATGGGATTTGGGAATTTAAAAAGACCCCACAGGTGTGGATCCTACCAGTCCATTCAACAAAGCCTATGAAGCCTTCCTCCAACAGAAGAAAAACTTAAATTGGAGGAATGACCTGCTTAATTTTTTAATCTGTTGTGGGAAGTCTCCATAGGCTCAGGTTCAATTCCCAGCATATTCA